ATGGCTATGATTCTGCAGTAAGATCCTGAGAAACATCAAAGTATCTTTATAGTTTGGATACCTTGGCTGCTGTGCATTTCCAAATTTTAAAGGGGTCTAGGTTTCTTGTAAGTTTAACACCTGAATGTATTGGGTATCTAATATTTAGAGGGCTTGCTGTTGTTCTTAACTCTGTGGTTCTTGAAAGGTAATATGCAGTCAAGCCAGTTTTCAGAGTAACAGCCGTGTTAGTCTGTATTCGCAAAAAGAAAAGGAGTACTTGTGGCACCTTAGAGACTAACCAATTTATTTGAGCATGAGCTTTCGTGAGCTACAGCTCACTTCATCAGATGCATACCGTGGAAACTGCAGCAGACTTTATATATACACAGAGAATATGAAACAATACCTCCTCCCACCCCACTGTCCTGCTGGTAATAGCTTATAGTCAAGCCAGTGTGTGCCTGCAACCTTCACCTAAACAAAGATTTTTGTGTGGAAATATAAATATACATTTAAAGATGGTGAAACTAATGAAGGAGAAGAAAGGGTTCAGGGCATGAGGAGTAGAAAAAAGAATAGATATGGGGTCAGCAGTAGTCAGATTAAAAAGCACCTTTGGAATGATAAAGTTCTAAGATGGATTTAAAAAAAAAAGTGCTGAGAAATGGACCAAGATGGATGTCGAGGAGAAGTGAGTACATCACCATAGGGTCAACTGCAAGAAATGTTTGCTCAGAAAAAGGGTTGAGGAGTTCTTAATTATAGTTTGGGCATTTGCTGTTAAGGGTTTTAAAAACTGAGTATTAGCTTGGTGTATGTCTGACAGCCATCACTTCTACCACTGAATTGCTGTATGACTTTGAGCAACAGGAATATATTCAGGGTTGTCCTATGGCCTGTGTTGGAGGTCAGACTACATGATCACAGCAATCCCTTCTGGATTTATAATCTATTAAGTCATAGAGCCTTGCTGAAAATTTACCTACTGCACAGGGCTATTGAGAATTAATAAAGTAATGTTTTTATAGTGCTTTGAAAACCTGTACAGCAGTATATTTGAGTATTCTGCTGTTTTTACTGGTAACATCCACGTAGGTATCTATGTGTCCATAAAAATTTCTCAAGTCAGTGATGATAAAATTAATAGTACACATATCCAGAAATATTTGTTAAATTGTAGAGGTGAAGAATACCTGAAAATATAATGTGGACAGCTTAAAATAATGCTTTGGCAATAGAGCCCTTTTTCTCATTTTCAAAGCACTTTACAAACATTCACTCAATTAGTCCCTCACCCCTGCACAGAACAATTATTACCAAGAATAACATCCTTTGTAGAGTAAACTACATTTTGCATTTACAATTAAGGTTTTTCTAAAAAACATGTTTTTTTCTCTGTGAACAATATAATTTCTTACTACTGGTTATAAAGAGTGCATAAATGTTTGAAAGGAGTATATCAAACCCTTCAGGGACTAATTGGCATCATATTCTTATTTTTAAAAAGGTCTCTGAACATCTGTAGATTTAGGACCATCTAAAGGGTTTTAATTTTTATTATTAAACTTTTTAAAAGTGTTTAACATCTAAGAGCATAATATTTAGCATTCAGATAGAAGCTCAATTTAAATTCAAAGGAAAGTGTAACAATTCTAGCTTCTTGTGTATAAGAATAAAGAGTTTTACATATTCTATCTTCCAATGCTTTTATAACAAAAACCACAGAACTAAGAAACTTGCAAGCCTTTCAAATGCTTACAGAAGTTCCTGAGTCAGCTTACTTGTATTTTAGAACAAATGGATATAAACTGGTCATTGGGAAGTTTAGACTTGAAATTAGATGAAGGTTTCTAACCATCAGAGGAGTGAAGTTTTGGAATAGCCTTCCAAGGGAAGCAGTGGGGGCAAAAGATCTATCTGGCTTTAAGATTAAACTCAATAAGTTTATGGAGGAGATGGTATGATGGGATAACATGATTTTGGTAATTAATTGATCTTTAAATATTCGTGGTAAATAGGCCTAATGGCCTGTAATGGGATGTTAGATGGGGTAGGATCTGAGTTACCCAGGAAAGAATTTTCTGTAGTATCTGGCTGGTGAATCTTGCCCATATGCTCAGGGTTTAGCTGATCGCCATATTTGGGGTCGGGAAGGAATTTTCCTCCAGGGCAGATTGGAAGAGGCCCTGGAGGTTTTTCGCCTTCCTCTGTAGCATGGGACACGGGTCATTTGCTGGAGGATTCTCTGCTCCTTGAAGTCTTTAAACCACGATTTGAGGACTTCAGTAGCTCAGACATAGGTGAGAGGTTTTTCGCAGGAGTGGGTGGGTGAGATTCTGTGGCCTGCGTTGTGCAGGAGGTCGGACTAGATGATCATAATGGTCCCTTCTGACCTTAGTATCTATGAATCTATGAATCTTTTTTAAAGAGGTTGACAACTTGATGGAGATAAAATCAGTTGAGAACATCTAAAGTAGGAATAATGAAGATAGTTGAAAGAAAAGGAGTACTTGTGGCACCTTAGAGACTAACAAATTTATTTGAGCATAAGCTTTCGTGAGCTACAGCTCACTTCATCGGATGCATGCAGTGGAAAATGCAGCGGGGAGATGTTATATATACAGAGAACATGAAACAATGGGTGTTACCATACACACTGTAATGAGAGTGATCAGGCAAGGTGAGCTATTACCAGCAGGAGAGAAAAAAAAACCTTTTGTAGTGATTATCAAGGTGGGCCATTTCCAGCAGTTGATGAGAACGTGTGAGGAACAGTGGAGGGGAATAAACATGGGGAAATAGTTTTACTTTGTATAATGACACATCCACTCCCAGTCTTTATTCAAGCCTTATGCAATGGTGTCCAGTTTACAAATTAATTCCAATTCAGCAGTCTCTCGTTGGAGTCTGTTTTTGAAGTATTTTTGTTGAAGAATTGCCACTTTTAGGTCTGTAATCAAGTGACCAGAGAGATTGAAGTGTTCTCCGACTGGTTTTTGAATGTTATAATTCCTGACGTCTGGTTTGTGTCCATTTATTATTTTACGAAGAGACTGTCTGGTTTGGCCAATGTACCTGGCAGAGGGGCATTGCTGGCACGTGATGGCATATATCACATTGGTAGATGTGCAGGTGAATGAGCCTCTGATAGTGTGGCTAATGGCATATGGTTTAACAAAGATAAAAATAGGTACCTAAAACAAATATCACATTTGTGCAAATATCTGGACTCAGACATAGAGATGCTATATTGTGAAATATCTGGTCACCCTCTGAAGCCATGTTCTAAGTGTTATTTGACTGGCAGTGTCAAAGTTCCTTCCCCACTCTGAACTCTAGGGTACAGATATGGGGACCTTCATGAAAACCTCCTAAGCTTATTTTTACCAGCTTAGGTTAGAACTTCCCCAGGGTACAAACTATTTTACCTTTTGCCCTTGGACTTTATCGCTGCCACCACCAAACGTCTAACTGGTATATTACTGGGAAAGAGTCCGTTTGGAAACATCTTTCCCCCCAAAATCCTCCCAACCCTTACCCCCCCCTTCCTAGGGAAGGCTTGATAAAAATCCTCACCAATTTGCATAGGTGAACACAGACTCAAACCCTTGGATCTTAAGAACAATGAAAAAGCAATCAGATTCTTAAGAAGAATTTTAATAGAAGAAAAAGTAAAAGAATCACCTCTGTCAAATCAGGATGGTAAATACCTTACAGGGTAATTAGATTCAAAAGATAGAGAATCCCTCTAGGCAAAACCTTAAGTTACAAAAAGACACAAAAACAGGAATGTACATTCCATTCAGCACAGCTTATTTTCTCAGCCATTTAAAGGAATCAGAATCTAATGCATATCTAGCTAGATTACTTACTAAGTTCTAAGACTCCATTCCTGTTCTGTCCCCGGCAAAAGCATCACAGAGACAAAGAGAGCTGCTTTGTTTCTCCCTCCCACCAGCTTTTGAAAGTATCTTGTCTCCTCGTTGGTCATTTTGGTCAGGTGCCAGCGAGGTTATCCTAGCTTCTTAACCCTTTACAGGTGAAAGGGTTTTTCCTCTGGCCAGGAGGGATTTTAAAGGTGTTTACCCTTCCCTTTATATTTATGACAGGCAGCCTAGAGAATGCCAATATTCAACATCCTAATCAGAAGAGAAGTAATCTTTTGATAATTTTATAATCATTCTTCAGACTACAATAAGAGATTACAGGAATGTGGGTACTGCATAGTGCATACCAGATACCTGGCTGGTATGCATTCCAGATTACTGAATTGTCAAATATTATTCAAGGGTAGAAGTTTGGGTTTTGTGGGCTGAGAAGCCTTGAACTAGTCACATAGGGCCTGATTTTCAGAGGTGCTGAGCACCCCCTGCTCCCATTGACATCAGAAATTCCGGCCCCAAGTGACTGGCTAGGAAACCTACTTCTCAGTTTAACCTCACATCTCTGCAATGGGGAAATTAATTTTTATCTCATGGTGGCTTTGGGATTTATTTAACATTTGTAAATTGCTTTGAAATCTTGATATTAAAAGTACTATATAAAGTGCATATTATTGATTTATAGAGCTGGTAGGTCTGAAACAATTTTATTCACAAGAGATTCAGAAGACTTTTTGTCCAGATGTATTGTGTTCTGACAATAGTAATGCACTTTGTCCTGTGTTGGGTTAGCAGTGGGGACCAATCCTGCTTCCAGTGGAGTCAGTGATAAACATCCCATTGACTTAAATGGAAGCAGCATTGAGTTTTTATTTAGTGCAGAACACTATTATTTAAAGAAATGTTGCATTCCAGTGGGTGAAATGTCTTTTAAAACAGCAATAAAGTTTGTGTCCAGTTGCTTAAGTATCTTTTTGCATTTGTCTTCAATAATTCTGTCTCTAAGTTGAGTTTAGTTCTCTGCCACTTGAGTTTGCTTTGATCAGATTTGTTTTTATCTTAGCCTGCTTGATAAATAACAAGAGTATTTCTGATAGCTGAATGATTTAAAATTGTGTTTTTCCCCCCCTCCAACAGGGCATCTGCGTAAAAGAAAAGGAAGGAAAATGAAATTCCTATTCTTAATAGTTTTCATCTATCTCTTACCACAATGCACCGGGAAACCTTTAATCAGGGATGACTGCCACCAACACACATTCGAAGAAATTAAAAGAGAAATAGCTGGGTATTCCGATATTGCCAAGGCTATTATCAACCTTGCTGTTAATGGCAATGCCCAGAACAGATCCTATGAAAGACTGGCAAATTTTGTTGACACCATTGGACCTAGACTCAGCGGCTCCAAAAATCTAGAGATGGCTATCAAATACATGTTCCGTGTCCTGCAGGAGGATGGGGTGGAAAATGTCCACCTGGAGCCTGTAAAAGTGCCTCACTGGGAGAGGGGAGAAGAGTCTGCTATGATGTTGGCACCAAGGAACCACAGCATTGCAATATTAGGACTTGGAAGCAGTGTTGCAACTCCTCCAGAAGGTAACACTTTACTACCTTTTGACTTTATTATCTGTTGCTTTTAAAAACCAAAATGTATAACGGTACGAAAAGAATCCCCCAAATCATGTCAGTAGACAAGCTAGTCCTCTCCTTCTGCCATAAAAATGCTGCGAGCCAGAGAGAACTATTTTGCTGGAACTTTCTGTGTGAGGTGTTACCTTAGGAACTTGCACTGTATTTAACTGGAGTTGATAAGCTCCTTAAATTTAGCCTGATTTTATTATTATTATTAATTTATTATTCTTTGAACACTAAAACTGTAGCCTGTTCTCAAAAGAAGCCATCTCTTTCTGTACCTGTCTGCTTGAGGTTTTGCCATGATTGCCAATTAATGGCAAAATGGTAGTCTGCCTCAGTGACTATTGTGCTTCTGGTAATTTAGAGAAGTTTAGACTTCCTCAAATCAGTTTACTAAACGTGGTGCCTCAAATGCTAATGCCTTGTGAACTCAGCTTTCTAATCCAGACAGAAGGGATGGGGCAGCATTGTCTAGGGAGTCCTACCATATGCAACTGTTGTGTGTTCCTAATATAGTCTTCTTTCCATAATACTTTATGCTATTTAGTATTATCCTCTGTGAAAATAATCTTAGTTATGAAAGCTGATCAGTACATTTTAATAAGGACTGATTTTATTTCTCAAACTGTAAACTCGTCTTGGCAGGAGAGAGGTATGTGTATGCTCATGGCGCGCCTAGCACATGATGAGAACTACTGAAATACACATTGTAAAAGCAATTTCATTTTTGCTTGGGAAATTTTATATTACAGCATGCAAGTAAGGGACCCAGGACAAATTGGAAATTTAAAATGTAAATGGAATCAGTGTCATGGTTTGGTGTCAGGACAACTTGCAACTATACATTTGTCAATTTTGGAAGGGAAGGGGAGATGATAGTAGGGTTGTCAGGTGCCCAGTTTTTGACCAGAAAGTCTGGTTGAAAGGGGACCTGTACAATGTCCGGTCAGATGTACTGATCAGACATCAAAAGTCTGGTTACAGATGGGGGAGGGAGATGCCGAGTCATCAACCTGCGCCAGCCCCTGCTCAGCTGGGGCCACCTCCTACCTTCATCTCATGGGCAGTTAGTCAGCAGGCTCCACATCAGGCTGCAGGTCCTGTCCCAGCCCCCTGAGCAGAGGGAGCCCAGCTGGGAGTGGGGGTGGGGAGAGTGCAGTGAGAGATGGTGGGAGGGGGTAGAGGAGCAAGCTGGGGGCAGGGCCTGGGGGAAGAGGTGGAGCGGGGGGGAAGGTCTGGTTTTCAGAAATTAGAAAGTTGGCAACCGTACAATAGGGAAAAAATTGTGTCTAAAACAAAAAACAATTAAGAAACATTAGTAAAATCAGCAAACTAGCCCATAATATTTATAAGGCTTAGTGTTTGTAAAACATATTTTTTAGTGTAGATTCATTAGGTGTTTTAGTTCATTCAGTGTTTTAGGTTTCTTTCATCCATTCCACTTCCCATCCAAGCTACTTAGAAAGAAAACGAAAATGAAAACCATGTTCCCACTCTCAATCAAGAGTCACTGAGGAGCACTTCAGTAAGAAAACTAGTCTGTGCACAATTTGCCTTCCTCAGTTATTTACACTTGCCTTGTCTTACTTCTCTAGTTTTTCAGGGAGACACTAAGTTTGCACCTTTTTAAATGGGCTCTACCTCTAATCAGGTTCTTCTCCTTCATTTGACTTCAAATGCTCTGACTGTTGAAAGGTAATTGCTGTAGACAATAGTCTGGCTCCCAGCCAGGAGAACTGTTTTGTCGGGAGAGGTCGGCTTGGCAACAAAGTCACCATTTGTGCATGTATGAGGAAGCTGGCAAGAGTGTCACCTGGCAAAGAGAGAGAGTCAGAAAGCCGGAGGACGTGGTCTTTCTGGGGTTATTGGCCATTTTCTTTCTAGCTGAAAAGTAGAGAGAAGCAACCCTGCATGTAGGGGCCTGCATTAGATGTGGGCATGAAGGGGCTGTTTGCTTTCCTGTGCTCAGTTGGCCTCAGGACTCCCAAGAGAAGAAGTCAGAATAGTCAGGGGCAAAGGAAGCAGGCTGACCTAGGGAGAAAAAGACTCCACATTGTAGCCCTCAATCCATGCAGTGAAGCAGAAGTACTCTGGAAAGTCCAAGGGACACTGACTCCCTCCCCCACCCCCAAAGAATGGTGTGGGGAAGAAAATGAGCAGAGAGATGTATAGGGTTTATTTTTCAGTGTGATCTATATTCTCTTGTGCATTATTTGATTAAGTAAAGGAGCAAATGTGTTAGACTTGAGCAAAGATTCTGAGTGTGAGTCATGTGCTTCATAATCACTGCATGCCTCCAAAGGAAAGTAAACTATGAACTAGAAGCTTCAAACTTTTGGGGTGGAGTTCTGGGAACTGGAGTATTTAAGTACAGGGGAGTTGGAGGAGTCTGGATTTTGCCCAGAGGGTCTACGTGGCTGGACTGCCGGTTCCAACTCTCAGGAGGGAGTTAAGGGGTTGTGATTTATGCATTATAGGAATGTGCCTAGGGACCCTGGGATTGGGGCAGTGGCTGGGCTCTGTTCAGGCTTTGTAAGCTGAAAACACCTAGGGACTCAGAGGCTTGGATTCCCCTCACGGCAGTCCAGGGGGTGGCTGAAAGGGGGCACCCAGCCAACTTTAGCTAACGTTATGTCACCCCAAGATCAGTCTGTTTGTTTGGGCTCTGACACTGGGGAAGATATGCAGAATTGCTAAGTATTAGTGAGTGCCTGACCTGCACTGTCTCGGATAGTTGAAGTAACTGCACAATTTAGGAGGTGCCTGGAAGGGAAATCCCCACTGCACAGGGCTCCTAACACAAGCCAACAAGGGGATTTAGAAACTGCTGCTTAGAGAGGTGCCCACCCTAACAAGCACCTTAGTTTCAAACTTGAGACTGAAAATATATTGTCAGGTCTGGTCTACACTACAGAGTCAGGTAGAAATAAGGCAACTTACGTTGACCTAACTATGCAAGTTCACTCCCCCCGAAGTAACTGCCTCGCTATGCTGACTTCATAACCTCCACGAGTGGCGTAGAGATAGTTAGGTCAACTGTAATTGCCTTTCAGGAGCCATCCCACAATGCCCCATGCTGACAGTACAATCGATACAAGCACTTCTGGTGAGGACGTGCACCACTGACACAAGGAGCAAAGTGGAAACATGCACAAGTAACATGTAATGACTGAGGTGGCTGTATGCCGATGTAAGTTAGGTCAACTTAAATGGTTTCAGACTGTTTTCTAAGATGGTGTTTGTCATTTCTGACTCTTGGGCAATTCATTTCCCAGACCTACTCCCTCTCTCCCAGATAGTGCTGTTTCCTGTGTCCTAATTTCCAGAAAAGAAGGAAGGAAGGAGCTACAGTAAATCAGTTGTGAAATATTCTAATTAGTCCCCTCAGAGATTCATCAGCATTATTGACTTTTCATTTTATCCAAGAAGTTGTGGGAGTAATTCATCCTTTGCTTGAAATACAGTAACTAAAAGTCCGTGAAGAAACATCTGAGTCTTCTAGCATTGAATTGCTATTGGCTCATGGAAATGAGCATTTTAAAGATCCACAAATTTCATGCTTAGCGTCTCTTTGGAAGAGACATTGCTGTAAACCTACAGATTCAGCTATTAGAACTTCCCAATCCGTGTAATGTTGATTTTCTCCAAACTTTTACAGAATAGCTTGTCTGAAGACTCATTTTTTAGGAAATGCATAGAACAATTCATTTGATGTTGGAGCATTCCCAACATTTTGCCCTGCTGGGGAATGAGCACTTTCACTTAGGATCTGATGCAGTTTGTCAAGAAAGCAGAGCCTTTTTATCCAAGGAAGATGGTGCAAGGATCAGACCATTTTTGAACTCCAATCTCCATACTTTTTTACACTCTTTCTGTATGAGTAATATAGCTACACTTACTGCTAACCTACTTCAGTGTTGTACTACCTGAGCTAAGTATTATGTCAAGATGCCATGTTTCCAAATTCAGCCTCTTTAAATAAATAAATAAAATAAAAAGAGGTAGGGAGGGAAGGCTAGAATGCTTTAATAAAGAACAAATGTATTTTCACTTTGTGTACTCCAAGATTTTAAGGTGTTTTGCTCAAATGAAAGAATTCCCCTTTGAGCAAAAAGTAAAGATGGGAAAATTTCATCCCCAAAGGTAAATGTTTAGGCAATTATTAGGAGGTTAAAATGGAAATTGTTTTACAGTCTTAAATTGTCCTTTCATTTTTAAAATGTTTTATTGTTATTTTTATAAAGGTTTTTCTGCTCCAAAGCTGATTTTTATAAGGGTCTTCTCAGTTAGTTTCATCCTTGTCAGAGTAAATAGGGAACAGTAAAATTGACTAGACATGAAATAGAAAATAAGCAGCCTGGAAACAATACAGAAACATATTATTTTGTAAGCTTCTTCAATTTCAGTAATAGTGGTGTACTTGTAACAAATAGTAGGTCCCAACTTTCAGAGAAAAATGTTGTTTTTCCCCCCAAGTTGACACAGTTCCCTTTAATTCCTTTGAGGTGCTTTAATTCCTTTGAGAAATCTGTGATTCTGACATTGGTCTGCAGGGCTCAGTTTCAAGGAAAGGCTGGGCTCAATAATGGAGGTTCATCAGAGACCTAGTTTTCACTTTTCCTTTGATCTAGCCATAATGCCGAGATTCTTATGTCTGCATTAGTCAGGCCAAAAAATATCCCTATGAGTCTCTGTCATACATATAAAGGGAAGGGTAAACCCCTTTGAAATCCTTCCTGGCCAGGGGAAAGCTCCTCTCACCTGTAAAGGGTTAAGAAGCTAAAGGTAACCTCGCTGGCACCTGACCAAAATGACCAATGAGGAGACAAGATACTTTCAAAAGCTGGGAGGAGGGAGAGATACAAAGGGTCTGTGTGTCTGTCTATATGCTGGTCTTTGTCGGGGATAGACCAGGAATGGAGTCTTAGAACTTTTAGTAAGTAATCTAGCTAGGTATGTGT